TATAAGTTAGAATAGTTTGATGATTATTTGTTTATTTTCATAAGGTAAGCTAGAAATAGGTGTCCGCACATCGAATTGACTCTCGCTCCAAGTCCTTGGATGGTGTGCCGTCTGGTTTTTGTTTCACTATTATTATCTGTTGTCCCAATAGTAATTCTCAAATTAATTTAAATTTATTAGTTTGTTTCGTTGCTGTGCGTTTATAGGCTAAATATTTTTATTATATGAAATGTATTATCATATGATTAGTTCAATCGATTGAGTCTAGAGATTTTCTCTTGATTTGTATTCTATTGTGCTGTGATTGGTTTTTATTGTTTATTTATGTCTATAATATAAAGCATTTTTTATTTCTAGCTATGGTTACTATGCATCCAAGACTACTATAAAAAAGACGCGTGCCAATACGTTATTATACTTACATCATATTTATGATTTCTCGTCAAAACAAGAAAACAAAATGTGCTGATCCTGACTTGCCAATACCTAAAAAACCTCCTTGGAAATATGATCAGAATGCACTATTAGAACCGGAGACATCTACCCCGCTTGTTTGCAGAATTCCAGGAATCAATGACAGTTCCTCTCAAAATGTTATTAGAAAGACATCTTCAAAAAGCATTGAGGCATATATCCTTGATAAAGGATCAAGATGTGGTATACTTTGGTGGCGGCCTCTTTTTCTCAGACCTGCTAGGAACATTCGAGCCTTTCTTGTTGTCATATGCATAGTTTCCTGCTTGCAGGCAGCTTTTTCAGGCTATACTGCCTCTCAGGTTACCACAATGGAGAAACGTTTTTCCGTGAGCACCTGGATAATAAGCTTCATCAGCGCATGCTTCGAAGTTGGATATATTTTGTGTGTCATGATTGTGAGTTACGCCGGGAGCCGAGGTCGTGTCCCTCTTTGGATTTCAAACGGACTTATAGCAATGGCTCTTGGCTCTCTCTGTATGGCAATGCCACACTTCTTGTTCCCTCAGGCTATTTTTTCTTCGATGAATTTTAGCGATCCTTTGTGTAAATTAAATGAATACAAAAGATTAGCGGATTTAGGTGGCTCTGGATCCGTTGGGGCTGA